AATAGCCTGACCACCGCCGACAGCCGCTAAACTCGTGATTTACGCGCGTAACTTTGGGATGCTCGGTCGAACGATATTCATAAAAGGTGTTCGCGCGTACGCCCGTATTCGCAAACGGTAAACCAGTGAGAAAGGAAGAGGATGTCGTCGTGAGTTCAAGGTAGAAAAATGTATTCCTTGAATGCGCAGGTGGTTGGCTTGAAGAGCGTCGGTAGCAACAGCGACATTTGGCCGCTGGAAAGGCCAGAGGGAATGCCAGCCATACAATCCCTCGAAGTGATGTGCGGAAAGGATCATATGGACGTGCATCTTTCGTTCTCTCAACCCTTTGAAGGCATCGTATCGTCCAAGGGCCAGCACGCCGATCCGCGATGCGTCTACGTTCCACCTTCCACCGGGCAAACTTTCTTCTCCTTTCGGATAGCCTACGCGAGGTAAGACCGTGAGATTTCTCGATGATCCGTCGGGATGCGCCTATCTATGGAAATATCTTTATGGCCATGCTGTCTCTAACTCTGCACCTTAACACAATCGAAAGATTCATGGCACGCGGAAACGCTAATGGCTCGAGATCCGTTGCGCCGAGCAATTTACCCATGGAGAATCGCTAACTTGTAATTTCAGACAAAGGGTAGTTGGATGACTAGAAATGGTTTTATTAATTTTATCATTCATCCTGCCGCCTACACTAATTTCTCTTCGCTTACATTTAACTCTGGCTCTTCACTATACCTGCCGCTTTGACCCCTAACCACTATGCACAACTATGCACGTCGTTCTTGACGTTTAACCCTCGCACGACGAAGACTTTGCTCTCCGGCGATTCAATCGACGTTTCTATTTGAGAGAGAAGAATCAGTATTTCTTATGACTAATTTAATTAATTATATTACATTTTTCTCGACTCTGGTTTTAATATTATCGGTACAAAATCTTCCACAAGAATCCTAACTTGGGCAACGGTTAACGAATGCGATACAAATCGAGCACAGGTCGTCCGTTTGTTTAAATTTTGATCTAAAAACGTGGGAATTGGATCTCTTCAGACGTTGAATTCCTCTAGCATCGCACGCGATATCACATACGAATCGATAGCAATGAGTTCACACAGTTTTTGCAGGAGTTCTTTACTGTTCGTCGACTCGAACGACTGTTCGTCATCGTTCAAATCCTCTCGGCCGTCTTTGAAGTATCTACAGCACTCAAATACTTCTATAAGGGACATACATACAATACTACCATAAACTTCTTTCAGCGTCTCAAGGATTTGTGCGACCGTTTCCTCAAGTTTAAAACAGAGTTTAATATTTGCTTTTTACTCCGTCGTGTTTTCGAGACAAAGTCCACCAAAGTACCGCCGCTAAAATGTCAATAACTTCTGGATGCGTTCGTTTTTGTTGAAATTTTAAGAGTCGAGAGAGTTCGTTCGTTCCTTTTCTAGTAATGGATTTTGAATACATTCGATGTAAGAATACGGACGTTTGTATTTCATTTCTCAAAATTATATTTTCCAAATTTCTTAAGTTCCTGTTGTAATATATTAAAGAAAGGCTTCAACGTGGTCTGAAACATTAGTGAATAAATTTACATACGTAAAAATTGTTCTCCCTATCAAAAAGTATCTATGTGTATCGAATATATACAGGGTGTTCGGCCACCTCTAGCAAAAATTTTAATGAGCGACAGTAGAGGCCAAAATAAGACGAAAATCAAGAATACTAATTTGTTGATGGAAGCTTCGTTAAAAAGTTATTAACAATTAAATTCAAAAATTTCAAATCGTTCTGGAAAAATTATTTTCGGTTGCGGGGGTCAACTACAATCATTTTTGGTGAGTACACATACCTCCGAAATCCTATCTACTTTCGAGAAAAAAAATCGAGTAGGTGCTGAAATTTTTCGGCGAAAAAAAATTTTTCAAATCGTTCTAAAAAAATTATTTTCGTTTGCGGGGATCAATTACAATCATTTTTTATCATTACACATACCTCCGAAATTGTACGCACTTTCGAGAAAAAAATTCCTTACTGAAAATCCAATTAGGTGCCTAAATTTTTCAACGGAGAAACAAAATTGCAAATCGTTGTGAAAAAATTATTTTCGGTTGCGGGGGTCAATTACAATCAGTTTTTGTCATTAGACATACCCACGAAATCCTGCCCACTTTCGAGAAAAAAAATAGAGAAGGTGTGAAATTATTCGAGAAAATTAAAAAATTGCAAATCGTTGTGAAAAAATTATTTTCGGTTGTAGGGTTCAATTACAGTCATTTTTGGTGAATAGACATAACCCCGAAATCTTGCGCATTTTCGAGAAAAAAATTCAGTAAGGGCGGCACTTTAAACGTTAATAACTTTTTAACGAAGCTTCCATCAACAAATTGGTATTCTTGATTTTCGTCTTATTTTGGCCTCTACTATCGCTCATTAAAATTTTTGCTAGAGGTGGCCGAACACCCTGTATATAGAGGAAACATATATTTAATTCTAAAATTTTTATAATTAAATATAATACCATCGGTACGAAGACTGAAGGAACCGATAATGTAGTGAAAAAGACTAGACTCTGTTCGTTTGATCGTAGATGCGGCACCAAGCCAGACATGCACGGACAGTTCTACGAGAATACCGTTGTCGTTCAGTACGACAAAGATCTGCTCGAGGTCTGGGACGAGGCCAAACGATTGCGATGTGAATGGTTCAACGATTACGAAAAGACCGCCTCGAAACCACCGATGGTCATCGCGGATCTCGACGTGATACAATTGGATTTCAGAGGTACAGTTTCCGATCTTATGCATGCAAATTCCAGCGTCGACGGTCCTTGGAGGATAAATAATATTCGGAATACCTTAACGTTATTGTGACACACGAGTTTCTTAAACGTTCGCGTGAGACTGAGGAAATGAACCGTAGAGTACTTTAAGCTCCGTGAAACGGAACTGCGGATATATCGACACGACAGAGCAATTGCAAGGTACTCCGAGCCCGATGTACGTACGGGCGGTTTACGTCAGCCACATTTTACCGTGTACGAGTCTACGGATATGTAGCGGATAGGAGAAACGATGATCCCTTGGTACAAAGAGTTTAATACGAGGTAAATGATGGTACCGTATACGGTAACTCGTGCACTCGCGGTTGACCACAGGTGGAACCGCAGCCACGCCACTTAATTTCAATTTATGCAACATGTATAAATTGCACCTGGCACGTCGCGCCTAGAAAGCGACCGCCTACCTCTGGGTCGCACAAATACGAGCGTGTCGTTCTATTGATATTGCAGGCGACAACGTAGATTGTTGGATGGAAATTCAACACGGCAAGGGACCATGGGCGCCACCGGTCTCCGGAATAGTGCCGCTCGGCTCCACCCTCACTCTAGTCGTCGCTATAAACGATTACCGAGGTAACGACCAACACACCTTTCGAACCCATACTTGCTGGAACAAACGTAGCGATCTCGTGAAAACTGCTGAATTAATAACAACTCAACGATACCCCCTTTTTTATTGCCTGGCAGAATATTACTACTCTTATCCTATAAAATTACTTACACCATCGATCCTACAGATATCGCTAAATGCACTCTGAACAATTACCCCGTACTCTGAATACTTTAATAAACTTCGCGCAAAATGCAAGACAAGTTGCGGAATGCAAAGGGTTAAAGACCCGAAACAAAACAAGCAAACGCTACAACCAGTAAACAGTACATACGATCCTGCAGCCAAGAGACCGCTATCGCGCAGGGAAAAACCTATTTAGCGGTTTGTACCCAACAAGGGTATCGCTTAACTCTGTGCTGCACAGTGGCTAACTCGGGTGACCATCTAGAAAATGTCCGTTCAAGCACAGTGGTTAGCATCGGTGCTTGCTACAGAATGTACTCAACGCATTTGCATCGCCTCACAGAAGCACCATATATTTATGGTTGATCTAAAAAATTCTACAAACGTTGAGTCTCCAAAAATATATCTTAAGCCAACGTTTTGCACCTAGGCACACAAATTTCTCATGTGCATTTCGTATCGACTCACGGACTACAGTTAAATGGATCGCTACGTTTGTTCCGTCGACTTTTGTGAATTCTTAGCAAAGGAACGTCCGTTAACGTAACTTTCCCCGACGCAGGGGAATTCGACATGCGGGTCAAGTCGTGCGTGGCCTCCGACGGCGGTGGACACACGATACAGCTTAGCGACGAGTTCGGATGCGTGCTCAGGCCGAAGATGATCAGCCGATTCCTGAAGGCGCGGGGCTCCGACGATCGAGCGACAGTCATCACTTACGCCTTCTTCCACGCTTTCAAGTTCCCAGACGCGCTGAGCGTGCACATCAAGTGCAAGGTAAACGACGCTCGGCCGATGTACGATTCGATCGGGAACGAAATCACTGACAGCTAAATTTATTATTATTACGTGCCGCGAAGGTGCCGCGTTAGCTTCGAGAGTCGTCTCGCTAAACTATAGGACAAATATTTACCATCGAACCGCTGAAAGAGTGGTTCGAACGACTCGTCGCACATTATGCAAATTCGCGCGTTACAAACAAAAAATGAACGATGACTAGGAGCATCGAGATGATAGGTTGTTTTGGTAATGTCAAGGTCGAGATCTGCCGTCACGGGTGTTTGGATCACTGTCAACTGAGTGGGTCTGTTGGCCACTACATTCAAGAGCGCAAGGATCAGATACGACCGCAGTACTCGCAGACCACAGCACCGCCCACCGTTCATAATGACGACAATAACAGCGCTGACAAGGATAACGAAAACGGAGGAGGAGGGGCCGAGCAACCAGACGGCTCCCTTTACGACGACATCATTCAAGATGGTGACGAGATGACCTCGATAGGCGGTCACTTCTTGGGGGTCGAGAAGTCAGTTCCAAAGGCGCAGGCGCAGATGAGCAACCGATTACCGGCGCCGGTAGTCGAGACACCCGACGAAGAGATCCATCCAGACGACGGTGATCTCTCGAGGCCATTTTTGGTAAACACGAACACTACATCGACGCTCGATAATTAAATTAAATTCTGTAATTGCGAAAATCATTGTAGATGCAGCCTAAAAATTGCAATTTGTTTTAATTTGAAAACTGATGACAGTTGTTCTAAAGCTTGAATCTCTGTTTTAAGGATCCATCGAGAGTGACGCGATACAAGAGCGACCAAGATCAGTTCCCGCACGGGCCACGTAATCTCGAGGGAGACAACACCGCGGCACCAGTGACACCTCTCTCGTCTCCGAACGGCAGACGAAAGAGGTCGGTCGTAGTGTCCGACAGGAAAATCCGTAGCGCCGACGTTGGTGTGAGCGGTTTGTACGAAGTGATTTCCGAGGCCGATCTGGCCTTCAGCCCGGACACTCACGCGGAAGCGGTAACGGTCTTCCAAGGTAGAATACGCGAGGAGGTGGTTTATGGTATCTGCCTGCCTATGCCCGGTTTCAGCGCGTTGTTCATCGTCGTGGCACTGTCCGCGGTCATTTCTGCGCTGGTTGCCGGGGCGATGCTGCACCGGCTGCAAGCGCAACGCGAGGCGGTCGACAGCAGAAAGAACAACAGAGCTGTGCACACGACCAACGGCTGGTTGCCGTACGGGTTGCTGCGCGTGCGTTGCACGATGAGACCAACTCATCCCGAGCAAATCCAACAAAAACAAACGAGTCCAGTCGCCGCGAGTCCCTCGGTGGAGAGAGGTTGACGATTCGTGACTGTTGTGTGCGTGACGGGAGGCGCGTCTACGCTCCTCGAAAGACAATGTGCAATAATATGCTGTACAAATTATTTTAAGTGCGTAAAAGCGCGCGCGAGTTTCTCACGAACTGTTCCGAGACGATCCTTCGGTGTTTACTTAGAGCGAGAGAGAGAGAGAGCGCGAGAGAATGAGAGCGAACGAGAGAGAGAGAGAAAGAGAGAGAGTTCAACGGTGCGCTTTAAACCGAGCTCCTTCTAGAGCAGTGGTTCTTAACCCCTTTTTTTCCACAGACCCTCCCCGCCAACCCTCCATCCCGTTGGCAGTCTGCTGTTTTTAAATATTAGTTGAATCAATGGTCATCGATCAGTGCTCCATTTTAATAAATTTTTATTCAATAAAAGAAATCTATTAACTTGTATTAAATATATTTATAAAATATAAAATAACTATAAAATAAATATAATAAAATATTAATATTAGTTAAATTATTATTTGTATAGATTTATATTATTGTTTCCATTGAATATATTAATATTTAAATGTAGACTATTACGCGTAAGTCTTCCGATAATTTTCTTAGCTTGTAAAAGGTGTTTCGCTGCTCGAGAGGAGCCGACAAACACTGATTTAACTGCACAAAATAAAATTCATTTCATTGAAACGATAACTAATTTTACTGGAATACAAAGTACAATACAGGTATATGAAGGAATATAAATTTATTATATAATTGCTATTGTACATGATGTATCTGAGTCGAATAAGGACATTGAACTGTGGAGTGTCGGGCATTCAATCTACTTCGATGGCCGCAAATGTTAAAAATCCTGAGTCACGCAGATATCTAATGCCAAACAGGATTAAAGCTTGTATAGATCATTCTGTAAGACGAGAATAGGCTTTTAGAATTCAAGACTTTACGAGTTAAATCCCAATTCTAACAATGTTTTGGTCTTAAATCGAGTTCACTCGTGGATAGGCCCGCACCTTCGATCAAATTTATATTAGATAGAAAAATATTTCATTAATTCCTATACTGTTCCCAGACGTTCATAAATTCCATTTTAATCTTGGTAAATTACTTCCGTCAGCATTTGAAAGATTGCAAAGGTGCGAGCCCTCAACCTTTTCCTCCATATTGGCAACTTAGCCAAGAAATTAATTCCTCGGTATAAAAGACAATGGTGACTTTAGGATATTGAATCGAAACGTTCATCATAGTCTACTGTCTATCGTAATTATGAAACATCAAAAGAATAAAATTGATATTTTAAGATATGATGTATGCACCGACAATAAATATTTAGTATTCCCCTCTGTGGACCCCGGGTTAAGAACCACTATTCTGGGGACTAAGTTTTCGATAGGCGTTCTCATTTTTGTGAATTCACGAATGAAAGCATTATAGATGATTATTTTTGCAAAGTTGGTATTGGGTAAGTAAGCAGTATACTTGGAGAGAATAGTTGATATATAGAACGAATTAAAGAAATTCGCGAAAAGGGAAATCAAAAGGTACGACGTGACGGCTTTCGCTGTGAATATCGTAAACGTGTCACTTTGTCCTTGAGATTACGAATGATATTGTTAGCAACTATGTTCTTGTTGTTTTTTTGTTCGATATTACATTGAGTCAAAGACGATGGGAGCGAAATGACGCCGCTTTCGATGGCTGCATCTCTTTCCTTAGATAATTCATAAACGGAAGGAAGTATATCCGTGGAATATAAACTCATGCGGTTTACGAGATTCTTCTTCTGTATGTAAATCATCGCGTTTGTATGCCGTATAGCATTGCGCGTCTATTATCTACATATTTAATGATCGATTTGCTAGAGATGCTGCTATGAATTGTACTTAGACAATTACAATCGAAGTCAAACGACGGCAAACAATAATTAAAACAACGTTCTATCGTTGGAAGCAATCGTGTTTTTCAACTTGTTGTTCGAAATATTTTTTCACTTCGTGGCCCTTGTATTCGTTATCGAAAGAATTGTTACTTGCGAGATATCGATTACGATTGATCTTCGATGCTAGCTTAAGTTTAAATCTTTTAGTAGTCGTCAAACAAGAAATAATTTAATTTAAAAATAAATGCTTCTCACAGAGAGATTATTATACTATATTAGCATAATTATGTACACAACGCGAGATTTACTTGCACGAAGATTAAATTGAATCGAAGCGGTCAACATTCTTTCGTGTAAAAGAAGAACTTTGTTCTCCATTTTCACTAAAATCATTGAGAAAAATTGCAACGCGTTCGATTATCGAAACTTCGATCGACTACGACAACTGTCGATCCATAGCGATAATAACTTCGAAATAACAGCACCTCTAGATCAAGCCCCAAAGAGGCTGACAATAACACCTAGTTGATGGTAGGAAAGCAATCGTAAATATTATCGAAAAAATTGAAAAACGCTGCTAAGAAGCTCAAATCTCTTTTATTTTAAAATATGTATATCGTTACGTTAGTATAATACGAAAACTCAATATTTTTAGTGACATTTAACCTTCCGTTGACACGCCTCAGTAGCAATTGCAACGATCATAGAAATGATTTTATAGACCTGGATATTCCAAACGAGAATCATTTTTATTTTTATAAACTTCTTTGAAAATTATTCACCACATTAGAATTTTCCTTTCTTTCGTTTTACGTTCTTATCCTAGGCCGCGTCAACCGAAGGTTAATAATCGAATAGAAATCGATTGGAAGATCGATTGCCTTCGCGGGCCTTTTGAATTACGCGACTAGAGCATAGGAAGAATTATTTAAGAAATCCCTAAAGCGTAATACGCATTTAAAACGTCCAGGAAGACGTTTGGTTTATCATGGATGCTGATCCTGAAATACCAGACATACGTAATTACACATATAAGTAGGAAGTGTGTATCCGGAGAACATTATAGGAGAAAAGGGCTTGTCACTTTGGAGCACATGTACGAGTATAAAAAAAAAAAGATACAAAAAAGGGGGGAAGCTCTTTGTACAGGAAAACGAAGCTTCCTCGTGTTTCCTTTGTCTTTGTAATAAAGAAAAAAATGCCTGTTGTTTTCCTTCTCCAAAAGAAAAACAAATTAATTAACGATGCGGTGGTACGGATGAATATTTGTTTTATTTCCTCGCTCGTCCAAACGTTTTGGGAAACGCCAGAACAATTTTAGCTCGTTAGATTATTTCCTAGAAATAGTCTGAAAGATACTGTCGTACAGCAAGTGGCAAAGAGGATGTTAGAAATAAAGACCAAGCAACCACCAATTGCTAGCACAACGGCGTCTAGTAATGGATGAATGCTGCTGCCTCGCGCAAAAGGAACAAAAAAGTTAAGTCGTTTTTTTTTTTAATCGAGAGGTTGTGTGTTTATTTAACATAAATCAATGATAATGCCAATAAATGTATTTACAGCACCTTAACCGATTTCCACAGACCCGACGGTTTACTTTTTTCCTGTGTTATCGTTCCCTGACGTGCAGACACCCGAGCACAATGATAAAGTTTCTCACGTCTCCACTACACGATAAAATTGAGAATGTTCGTACAAAGAAGATGGCAAATGTAATTATAAATTTATTATCCATATATAAAAGTTTAAGTACTAACGTTCTTGTAAAAAGTACATTATTTCATCGATGAAGAATAATTTATAAACGTCCTTATGTCTACGTGCTTACGTTAACATTAAATATTATATTATAACCTTTTATATACCATTACAAGCTACTGACTATTGCTTTATACATTTGATCTTGGTATCTTGTATATTTCTCCACCAATTGTATTTATGAAAAATTTGGCGTTTATTACTTAGAATTTTACATGTATTGATTTCTTACGTTAAAACAAAAATAATTTCTTTAACAATTTGAACTCGCATGTTTACAAGTGCACAAGATACATCGTATAAAGCTGAAGAAATTTGGAACATTCTATGCAACAAATAAATAACAATATGACGACAGTGTTGTCAAGATATTAAAAAGAAACGCTTTTCTTTAAAAAAATATATACTATTAGCTCGCAGTATTTCAGCCTTAGTCGTGCCGAGTTACGTATTGTTCGTACGCAACGGGCAACAGTTAAAAAAAAAAAAAAGAAAACCCAAATACCATGGCCCCGAAGTAATTGTAACAAGGAAATCGCGAGCGCATTGTTTGATTATCTTTGACTAAATTTCCGGGAGGGGGAGGAGTGACTATACACAGTCGCCTGTAAGGGTTTGAGCGTAAGTTTTATCATGACGAAGCACAAATCCATATCGGTTTATCGTTCTGATAGAACAGACACGATACACGTAGCAGAGAGTATCTAATTTATTTTATTACGAACTATACTCTGTCTGGTACGTGCTGGTATACAGAATCGTGCTTACGACATTCTGTAGCCTCTACAATACCTGGAATGGAACGACCAGGAAGACCGGTTTGTGCAAGATTCAATGAATAAAACTTAAGTGTTTTCCGCGATCACGAAGATTCGAAAATGATCGCGAAACGATAACCTGGCTACCAGAATTTCTACTTTGTACCATTTGAAATTCGATAACCTTCATTGAGCAACTCTATATCGAAGTAGACTTTATATTTCGTCTACATCCTGAAAGGAAGAAACCAACTACACTGACAATGATTCGTCGTTCGTGTTTACTTCGATAAATAATTTAATACTACGAAAATCGTCGAACCAGTCTCGAGGAAAAAACCCGCTTAGTTAAAAGATAAATAATACAGCCCACGACAAAACGATAGCACATCCCAAACTTTGTTCATAACGTGAAAAGAATTAAGAAACTCTATTCGTCGAATTCATTCGCTATTAAAGATTTGTTTCAGATATTCTGACAGCTAGAGTTTGTCAAATTGTCCAGCATTCGCTAGCAAAAATTTGAATGCAACGTCAATTTACTTTTGTAAACACTTTTATTTTGAAATTTCAAAGATTATGCTTACGGGGTTAGTGTAGTAGAACCTCGTTTATTGCACGAGAGGATACACTGAGTGTGATTACTTCTCATTAAATTGATTACCTTGATTATCGCAGAAGTTTCCAGCTCCGACTTTCTGCAATAATCGAGATTCTACCGTGCAATTCTTGAGGCATAAATTAATAAAGGTGCTCAAAAATAAACAGTCTATGGAATATAAAATTAAGAACAACTCTTTATATTCGTAAACACCACCAAGGCAAATGTTTGAAAGCGTGTGCTATCATTTTGTCGGGCACGATCTTCAGGTTTTCATTGTGATTATTAGTAAATTTTTGTTCGTGTAAGAAACAGTGGGTTTTATGTTTTTGTTATTATTAATGAAATCTGTACAAAGTGTTCGAATAAATTAGATTAAAATTAAAATTAAATTGAAAGTATGGTATGTGCTATATTTTAATCGTGAACTCTATAACCGATCGACGACCAGGGATGAGCACATTCGAATAACTTTTTAACCGGAATACGTCTAAAATACTAAATATATAGATTCGATATTCGGAACAAGTGACGGACAAACTGACATATTGTATTTTGCAGTGGTGAAATATCAACGTTCACTTGCATTTTGTACTCGTTCAGGTTGTCGAATATTAAATACTCTTGTAACTTATATTCGACGATATCGTTGAATATCGAATACACTATTTTGTATGTTTCACTGACAAGGAAAGAATATATCTGTGTTTTAGGTCACGTAAATCTGGTATTAGTCTGATGTTTGTTCCTCAATCTTTTCATAAATAAATAGATATACTTAAAATAATGTGAATTCTTTACAATTTTTTTATAAATCGTAAAGGCTACTAAAGATATAAAAAATAATCATTAATATTAAAAATACCATGATCGTATTACTAATGATACAGGAAGTGATCGTTAACGCGTTGAAGACCGAGTTATTCTGCTTCGAATTATACAAATTATTATGCAAAAACTGGAAACATTGAATACTCAAATGTGCTTTTTATTTTACAGTATTCCCAATGGCATTAATGTTACGAGTCTTCAGAAAGCGATGTATAGGTCATCCGGTGACTGACGCGACCTGAACGAAAAGGCTAGCGGCGGACACCGGTGCCCGCCACGGTAATCAACGCGTTAATAATGCAGAAAAGAGGCATTACTATAATGCATTTACATAGCTACCGAATACAACACGAGAAAACTTATAAGCATTCGACTACAAAACAGAATACAAATTGGTAAGGTCGTCGTTCGAGTAGTTTTTGAAATACATTTTGCCCATACCTGGTCGACAACAATAACCTGTACCTCTTTCAGAATGCTATGTCCGTTTGTACTTATGAATAGAAACACGTCCTCGTCGATTTTTTAGGAGCATTCTGTTCGCCGGAATAATACATGGCCGCCTTCCTAGCTTTTCCTGAGAACGGTCTTAGACGTAGGCAGAGGTAGGTAGAAAGTATACACGAGGAAAGTAACACAGCGAGAAGTACTATGAGAGTAACAGCGAACCCTGGTGTGGTCATGCAGATCATAGCCGAACTCGCGGTGTTCTCGTTTCGGACAGGAAACACCATAGTCGGTCCATTGGATTCCCCATTGTTGGAGTCGTCGATGGAGAACGTTAAATCGCCGGTCGAAACCACGCGTATTATTCGATTTACTCCGACCGCCTTCTGCGGAGACGGTACTATTTCTCGAGACTTCCTCCGCCTCTCATCCCGAGGACGACCAGCGGTCGCTTGCAAGTACGCTTCCAAAGGAAGCGGAATAGGCGGTGGGAGACCGTAGCTAGAATCGAGATGACTGCTGGACGAATGATGATGATTCTCGAGAAGACCCTGAGACTCCAGCAATAAAGGCGACTCGGAGCACTGTTCGGGACATTGGTACCGACAGATCTGTATGGTGCACTGGAAATGCACCTCCATCGAGTCCGGGAATTTGAATGCCTGGAAATGGGCGTAGGAGAGGACCGACGCCGAGGCGCCGAAGTTTTTGATCTTGGTGAACCGCGACATGAGCTTGGGCCTCGTGATGCATCCCCTTTGATCCACCAACTGTATCGGGGCCCGTTTGCCGTCGTGAGCCATGCAGTTCCTCACGAGCATATCGAACTTGGAGTCGTCGTCCTTTATTGCTAGCACCATCGTCATCGTTTGACCGATCTTAACCAGCCCGGAGACCTCGGAGGCCCATGGACCCTTCCCCACCTGTATTTGCATCCAACAACCGACGTTATCGCCGGCAAAATCGGCTCGTACCACGTCCAACATGTCCACGGGGAACGGACGGAACGTAACCGACTTCTCGTACAGATCGTGCCAAGTGCAGCGCAGCTTGCGCGCCTGGTCCCAAACTTCTTGAACTTGAGGATCGTATTGAACCACGATGATGTTCTCGAAGTACGTCCCCGATCCTGATTCGGCGCCGTAACCGTACAAGCCATTCTCCGTATTTCCAGCCGTGCCACACGCGTGTATGCTGATCTCGAAGTTGACCGACGTTCGCCCCAAACCCGCCGGCAAGTGTACGCAATTAACGTTGCTGTAATGGCCCTTGCTGAAGACTATGCCGTAGAAAGGTTTATCGAAACCGAGGTAGACCTTCATCAGATTCTTCTCGCACTTCACGTCCAGCGAAATGATCTTGGGCATGTCGGGCGTAGGCGCTGGCCAGGGTTCTGCGCCTACCGCTGTGCTGATACCGCCGCCCGTCGTGTAGATCTTGTCGATGGCCTCCGATGGCGTCTTCGAAGGCGGCAAGGGCGGCGGCGGACCATGATAAGCAACATTATGGTGCGGTCTCGGATGAGGCAGTCCCAGACCACCTCGACTCGGAGGCAGAGGAAGGGGATGTCCTCGCAGACCACCCTGTTTGTAATGATTGCTACCGGTGTCTTTCTCGCCTAATGACTCCAATGCCAACTGGTCGGAACTATTGATGTCGTTGTCCTGACGGTTCAGGGCCGAATTGTCGTTTCGATTGTCCTCCCCTGGGATCGCCTCGACCACCTCCACATCCTCCGTTCGAGCCAGCTGCGAACAAAAAGACAAAACGCGATGTTGACAGGAAGGTTCAACGAATTATGTCCAAACGTCACTGCATTGACACTGCGACAAAGAGATATAGAAAAGTTTAATTGCTCTTATCTATATTCGGGGAAGAAATGAATAAGAGCAACAAAATCAATTTCTGAATAGTGGTAGAGTACAATTTGCATTAAAATCCACAATCTGCTCGTTAGTAACTCGAGTGACCGTCAGTCGCTCGACAAAGGTGACGCCAAAGTTCACTCCGTGCCAATAAATCCAGGAAACGGCAAGAATAACTCAGGGACGTTACGTCAGTGAAAAATTGTGACACTTTGAGAGGATCCCCCTTATATTACCTCGCAGAAGACGTAGCGAAATATTTTGTAGACCTTCCGTTAAGGGGAAAGGGATAAACGGCGAGAAAGTGTGAAAGTAGATTGACGTTGTCAGGCTACATAATTTGCAAGACGCGCGACTTCTTTAGGAACGGGCCGCCTTTATCCCGAACGAGCTCACCAGTGCAATCATCGAATGTCCGTACACGCATACTCACCTAAATTATCGTGTAACGATCCATGAATCGCCGTACGATCCCGACGAAAGAATTACCGTAAATCAGGCATGCCAACGATGGGGCGCGTCAAACGCACGGAAACACAATACTCTTCCGTCGAACAGTCTTGTTTAAAATGGAATTTCGCTCTTGGAAAACGCGTTATCACGATGTTAATCAAACGCAATTCGCAAGATTCTCTACTTGAGTTCAGGAAAACGAGTTTTACTATTAGGAACGTTTTATCATTGGCTGCCTTGAAAACTTCAAACTTACCATTCTCATAAATAAAATATTCGATAACGAGGCACCTAGTGCTCCAATGACTGATGACAGAATTAAAATACAAGATTCAACCTCGAATACTGAGTTCTGTTCGTAGATAGTTAAGTAGAATCGCTTCAACTATTCCAATATAGAATTCGGGCTTTGAAAATTGTTTTCACGCGTGGAATCCATTGGTAAAGTGGGTCCCATATGGTACGGGACACCCTGCGGAAGTCTGAAACGAGTTAACCGCCAAAAATTGGGATAAAGAGGTCTCCGAAGTCTTGTACAAAAACAGATGCAATTTTGTGTCCGTGGCCTCTGGTCGCGAACCGAAGATCCGCTCAAAGAGCTATCTCCGGTCGTGCGCATTCCTGATGGCCAATACGGGAGACAACAGTCTCCGATCAACAAACCCGTTCTGACTGTTCGACGAATGACGGGTTCGGAGAGCCGAGGAGGGGCGACCAAACGTTGGAATAGGAGCATCGGACCTGTACGCCAGGCGTAGTGGCTGATTACGTCACGCGTGACCCTGGGGCATAACGGACCACCCGTGTCTTTAGCCGCAGGTCAATCGGTCAGCCCAGGCGCTTCGGATACACGGTTCGGGTTTCCGTCTCTGCCCTCCGCCGATTCCTGACATCTGCTTATCTCGTCGCGGCTTTCCAAACTACGCGTTCCATAATTCGACGAAAGCTTACTGGGTCACCTGTGAACGAACTCGTGATGGATTTCGATGACGGCGTCGCGCGCTCGGCCGGAAAAGACGATGACCGTCCTTCGGGTGAAACGGCCGCGACGATTTGCATGTCACGTCGTTCTCGTTTTGATCGAAGACGACGGTGCCCCGCGTCGAATCGTTGCCAGGCGAAGTCACCAACAAGAAATCGCCGATCGTTTAATCGTTTCGCGGTAACGACGATAACGTTGCCCTTGCACCGGTAACAGTAACGACGCGATCAATCCTCCGTTACGTCCGAGCCCCCCAGAGATCCAACGTCGCGTTGAAAGCATTCGACAAAAAGGGAAAATTATAGTAAGCTACCAAGAGTAATAATTATCTTCTGCTCGGAGCGTTCTCGTATCCCGGAGAATTTCTTCTATCGGCTTAGACGGTATTTCATTCATCCCATCTCTGCTCCATTCACCGCGTCCAGCCTCCGCAAAAACTATTACGTCTTGTTGTGTAACGCGCACAAGTCTTTTAACATTCGCCGGTAAAATAACGAATGAGATCATTATGAATTTAATGGAAACCAACACCGAGAGTGCACCGGGTTTCTTTTTGCACTTGATAATAAGAATTGCAGAACAGAATAATTGAGGTATGACCAAGAAACCGTTCTACGCGTCTACAACGGTTTAACTAGCATTGCAGGTGTGATTAGAGAAGAACGTTAAAGGCAAAGCGTTATTTCCAGACGGCGAGCATGAAGAATTGGTAGAACACTTTGTACGTAGCATACTTTAGACCGTAAATAAACATGAATGAATGCCTCGTGGTAATTAGTAGAAACTACTTCATAGTCTGCGGGATTAAGGCCAACCCGGTAACATAAGAAGCGTTAGAGATCTCAATTTCTTTGTAAAATGAAATGTTTCTACCGACGTTGCGATAATAATTATTACTATTCGCGTAATATGACAAGAATTAATAAATAAATTAGATAAGTGTTTTCGTAAACTACTAAAAATTATAAATCTATATGGAATCGCGGAAGAAATAGTTTCGTGAACGACTGCTTGTCATTTTACGACCATCGCTTGGCAACGATTCGTAAAGCAAAGAAGAGGAATAAATGAGTTCCACGCGAGTTGAGCGACGTTCGAAAGTTGAAACGGATGGATATAACTACTTCGTGACCCCAAAAAAACGAGCAAAATTCGTGTGCAGCGAATTCTATACAACGAATGAAAATATTCAGAACAGTCGAGGAAAATATTGTTCGGTAAACGTAAACAGAACTTCGCTGTTATGTCTTTCGTTCACCTCTTTAAGGATACTGGGGCACACACGTTACGTACGTGTACATTTTTATCGATAGATCGACCTAATAACATCCACGGAGAATAATAATATTATATTTGAAACGGTCCCGCGGAATGGACGCTGTTCGAAGAGAAAAGAAAGGAATCGAAGTCGTATCGGTCCCCGAGTACACAGGATGGGAAGGTAGGATCACGGAACCGGTAGTTTGGTGTGCAATTTTTGCGCGTAATCTTGTAAGACCGATTCGTGGTGAAGGCCCGACGGTAAAACGTTACTTCGTAGTAGACGTGGATGAGCCGGATCGAAACGCCGCGCACCATTTCAAGACAGCGACCGGGCCTCGAGTCGCCCTTAGCTCTGGGTCAGAGCACTGGGTAACGGCATTGCAGGCTATGTACCCACCGCGTATCTGGGTTATAATGTAGTAATTACCCACGCAGACATACCGACCTACCCCCCTTCAAACACTGCCGCGTGCTCTTCTTACTTCTGGACGGTTTTTGACCACCGATCGCGATAGTTTGAGCACGCTTTTTCTCGACCGTCAGTCTACTTATTAAAGGTTAAATCGACCGGTACAAGAAAACTTTTCGAGAGTGCATCGCGAACAGCAATGCCCTCGAAACGGATCGGGGTAAATCGTCGTTCCGAATGGTATTTCGAAATGGTAGAATTTATGGAAAGCGATATTTTCATTTACCCCGACAGTTCGATCGTTTGTTCTGGCCCTTAGACGGGGAATAATTTTAAAAAGAAAAACAAACAGATTCGTAGAAATTCTGATATAATACTAAATAAAATGTGTACAGCATAGCAAAATTCCTTGAACCTATTAAAATTCAGATGAGACATTGTTTTTGTCAATTGTGGGAAGCCTTTTGGACCCTTTGCGTCCGCCATTGCTCTTGTAATTAGACATCCAACTTCTATCTCGAAGATAAACGATTATCAGACTCGTTTTTATAATATCCTGTCTGGTTTACATATTTCAACGAATACTGTACGTATCTAAAGATTAATATGTGTACACAGTAATAGGAATAATTTTTGTAAACTTGATGACATTGTATTTTGTATTGCTTTATATATTTTTTTAACGAATTGTAGTATTCTGTCCAAAATATTTTCAACCATGACTGACCAGCAATTTATTACTTACAGGATTATCGAAACTCTCCTGTCCATACAATAATATTGCAAATATAATAGAAAGTCTACGTAAAGTTCTGCACTGATTATATATAGAATTTACGTTGACCTGCAGGCGTTACGTTTGGCAAGTTTTTTTAGTAATTTTAGTTCAATACGTTATTTTCTATGTTATTTTCACCTTCGTGAAATGATAAAATAGGTGAAAATATAAGCCCTTTTCATGCACGGTGTTGCAAACGAAAGAAGTTCGCTGTGATTTAAGGCTTATACTCTGAACGAAATTAAAAATGTGTTTACTTACCCCCTTTAGTAGGAGACAGGCAAAAATGAAGATTCGCCACCGCATGCTGTATTAGCGTCCACGGTGGAGCACTATAAACACACTGCTGAAAGAACACGTTTCTTTCATTCATAGAACCATCAATACAATCCAAGTTATACTTAATATTCTAAAAACATATTAATTAATCAGCTAACTATTTACAAACGTACACGTACCTATGACAATAATCCCGCGTGCTTTATTAATCCGACCCTTCCGACACAAATTCTATCTGTGCAATCGAAACGAACACGTGTCGATGAAATTGTTCGGAATTTTCCTTAACGAAGAAATTGACGACTAGTCGATCTGCAATACAGCATAAAGAAAAAAAACCATCAAAATCATAAACTTGCGCAAGAATTTGAAAACGTTAAACGCAAGATAATCGAGATCAAATTAACGGTAAAAAAGATAATTAAGAAATTAGTATGCTCTTACGATCGATTTACGACTTAATAACAGTAAGTAACATTGTTGGCGGAAAGAACAATATTACGTTCGGTCGCAGATCTGCTAGCTGGATTCGTCGGTAAAGTTTATGTAGCAGATTCTGCTTCGGACGCGACGCTATTAATCTTTTGAACGGGGTGCTCGTACTGATTATATACTAATAAATTACCGAGTAATTGGTCGCATCGAAGGCAGAATTTGCTGGGTAAGTCTCACCGACGAATGCAACTAGAAGATCTAGAACGAAACCATTACGCGGTAGGATTGCTCTTTGCATCAAAGACATCATTTACCGCTCCGCTACGAGTTTTATTCGTCGATGGTCTGTGCTCGTATGGAGAACACCTCGAATGAATTAGTATTAACATTTCATTTTACGTGAGTGCATGTATTTCGCGTAATTTTTTCATAATCTCACGTAAATGCATAAAATTCAAAGACATGTGTTCTTTTTTTCTCTGAAACGTTAAGCGGTCCATAGCCTTTCTCGATGTGCTAGAGGTCTCACGCAGCATTCCCGACTGTACAAATGGATCGTCATAGTTAAAGTTGTTAGTAGAAAATACTGAACACTGTGAACGGACGAACCGGTCCATCATTGGACGCCTCGCTCGTGTTTAATCGCCAATTATCAGACACGTTCGCCTCGTGCGACCACTGGGCCACCTGTCCCAAATTCCTGCCGAATGTCCGGGTTTTCGCTCCGTTACCTCGTTGTACTCATGACACCCGACTGCCACGATCGACATCTATAGGTATGAACTGAATCCGTCGAATGGCGGCCCGGGAAAATCTCGAATCGATACCTTTACCATCGATCGTCAAACTTTTCTTCGTTTTATCGTCTTTCCTTTTTTGTTTTTTTTTTCGCGAACAAAGAGTAACAAGGACGAGAAGCAAAACGGGATTTCGCTATCGAAATTATCGTAATCGACGAGTGAAAGAATCGAAACCATTAATACTCGAACTTCCTTTCAGAACGGCTATTTAGGTCCGCGGACTCTCTCCACGGACGCTCGACGGCGAATATACGCGGTGTTCTATTTATTCGCAGCCCAACCGAAAGTAGGATGATTCTGCGTTTGAAACAACGTTAGTCGAAAATTTGGAGTAAAATTTCTTTGCAATAACGCGTGTCAATTTCGTTTGTATTGCTATTACCTCGCTAGGTTAAAATTGTTATTCTCCATTTATTAATAATTCGTTTATTATTAGAGAAAATTACACGACAAAATTCATGCAACATCTTTGTAAGAATATCAATTATCTCAATAAGTTTTGGTTTAATATATCACGTATTTTTCTCTGAAAAAGAAATATTTGCAGGTACTGTCCAGGGACTTAAAAACGCACCTCCAAGAAAAATTCAGTTCAATGGATCTCGTTACAGATTTTTGGTATACTTGTATACAGCCTAAAAAATTATACTCAAACAAGTATTTTTATAGTGCATCTCGCGAACGGAGCCTCAGAGAGATGTTATTCCATATTATCGACTAATTTTTGGCTGATAAATCGGTCTACCTTCGGTTTGTACTATGAATTACGGAACACCTTGTACAGTTTTCACCTATAGAGAAGAAGCAGAGGTCGTGAAGATGCGCGAGGTGGTTGTGTTCGTCGGAATTATTCAGTAGGTTCAAGGTGCACGTGAGACACAGCGCGAATGTAGGCAAGTAGGTTTCCATCTATCGGGCTTCAACGTTCGTACCGAATCCACTTACACGGATCCGAAGCTAAAACCGTCCCCGCCAATGGGTTCTCGTTCGATTCCAGCTCGGACAATAGACGATACGTGCGACAAATCACCGATTTGGGAGCTGAGTGGCTGTTTGTCTGCCATTTCGGTGGCAGCGCGCTGGGAATTTCTAAAAGACCACGAACAACCCATTTCAAATCCTTTATTGATCTCTGTACGCTTTTGGGTTGGATCGAGTGTATTTCCACGCTATTTCCATTCGCGTGACGGCGCTCAAGAAATTTTTACGATCGCGGATCGAAACGTTACGTCGAAACTGCGATTAATGCGACAATAATGATACCATTACTATCTATCTCGCGTAAATGTTTTAAGCAGTTAGAAAGATAAATCCATCTTTTTACTCGTAAAATCCGTTGCTATAATAATGCTGTTTACGCGATATGAAATCCTGACCGATAGCAAAGGAATTTGTTGTTCGTTATGGGCGAGTATCGAGTGGAAGGCAGGCAATTACGATCCACCGGTGATCTATAACGAATTCCATTAGCGCGTCAAAGGCACAGAGCTTGTTTATTACTGGCATACATTAGTTATTATTCCGCTTAGCGATTCGTGCCACGATAGACCGCGACACCTGTTCTTTCTTTCACCGCGAGGCCGTGCTTGAATAAAAATCACTGCCGGCTGTTTACACGTCCGTTGTTCCATGCTAACCATGAATCGGGCACGCCGAAGATGTGGCGTGGTGCCAAATACATATAACGGTTCTGCCGGTGTGGTAATTTCGAAGTCAGGCATTCGCATAATGAGTGCGTACCTAATAGTGACCCATATAGAAAGGAGCCGAAGAGTCTTCACGTTCCCCTTTCTTTCGGACGGTGACACTTACGAACCAGCGGTTGAGTGACTTTTAAGCAGACAGGAACGCGATACAATTTGAAGTTAGAAATCGATAATAGCTGATCGAGATAAGTGGTACGGAATTGATTGGTCGAAGCGTTACGCTCCTTAACCCATTTATGCCGTGCGTTCTACATACGAACCGCCTTTAAACAATTTTCTTCCGCAGAGAACGATACGGTATCAAAATAAATAGTATAAAACAATAAATTTGTTTTATAGACGATCAGAAGCATCTTGTCGGAAATGTTTACGAATAATAAATGTCCTATTAAAACTACAGTGTCATTTAGTATTGTTATAATAATCTTGTAAACGATATTTAAGCAGAATCACGTTGATGACAATTACGCTACAACAGTGTCTGGTCACAGCAAATAATTCAAATTCTTTAGTAAAAGTGTCGATACCCTTGATTGACCTGATTGTAACTACCCATAAGAACAATCAAATTCTAATTATAATACTCAAAAGCACGTTAAAAATCACAGGACATTCGAATGAATTCGAGTAACGGTAAAAATGTATTTTTCCGAATGTCCGCTAAATAGGGTACTTAATCTGTTAATCGAACTCCGAAATAAAGGATCTTTATCGCTCGTTGGGGCGCTTTATCGATCGTGAATCGTTACCTACAAACCCGCTAATAAACTCGATGTTCGGTTAACACGAAATTTATCCTTATAGAGAGATACGTTTGTTAGCGATGAACCGATTGGCATGCTCGAGGAATATACGATACGTAGATAATCTGCATTACTTTATCGTGTGTAACCCAGCAAGCGCACGGTTATCGAGCGTAACGAAACAAACTGACAACTTGATGACAACTCGATGCATTTTCGATGTAAAGGTGTTGGTATTGCCGATCGATCGTGCAAGATACAGTCAATGGTGCTCAATGAATATCGTCTACCGTTAGTGCTGACTGTCGATCGACTCTCCTTATTTTCTACGCGTTGGGATTTTACGACCACCGTCAATCACGATTTAGTTACTCTAACACAATCATTCCCCCTTGTTGCCCTTCGGCTACGTCCATTGAATAACGACGCGAGAAATTACGTAGTCAAGCGTGATTAATCATTCGATGACGTCGAATAAGAGAACTATATCAATAATTAACGATCGTGTGGTTCTGCCTATATGGATTTTCAATGATATCGAACGGACGCTATAGAATTCAGAACATTCATTTTTTCTTGACTTGGTTTCATTAAAAATTGTCAACGATAGCGACAAAATCTGTTTAAAAAAAAATACCCAAATATCGTATCGTACCCGTAGAATTAATCGATTTGTTTAATTTACGAGGCAAATTAACGTCCGATTCGAAAAACAATTCGATTTTGGAGCGTAGAGATACGTGCATAGGGACGGAGTTGCCCGACCGCGTTCCGGCGAGAAGAATAGGATGTTTCTCGTACATCGTCGAGAAAATGGACACAAATCGAGTCGTAAGGCGTACATGTATACGCGTGCATCGTTGATTCCCGAGCTGGGTCCGCGAGATTAGCCCCGACCGACGAGCAGCCGCCAACTGTTGCGGCAATGTGCATTCGATAGAATGAAAGCGGTCACCACGTGGTCGGCTATAACGCGTTGCACATCCCAGCGGCGCGTCATATAATTTCTCCGTACGAGGCTGCAGCTCCTGTCATTACCAACGCATTAGAGGGACAAACGACGACAGTTCTGCTGCAAATAATAGCTTAATCAATGGCGCGACGATAATTGGATTACCACCTAGCACGCGAGATAATTACTCGTTAATCCGCGGCGTCGTATGATAAATGCGTCCGGCGAGTACGCGATCGTTTATCCCGGTGTAATTAACGGTCCGGCGATCGAGTACCGGAGTATCGGCTACGCCGGATAATTGGTCGACTCGGTAACGCGCGTAACTAAATAGAATCAGGTGAAAAATTGTCTTACGTTTCTCCAACTAGGACGTCTAGGATAGAGGCGA